AATGCAACTGCAGTTTTTGCCCGGCATTGGCTCTCAGTTTTTCGTCGCGTGCTTCATCGCACTTTTGCAATTTTGCCCAAGATGGAGGCGGGACATTCACAACATCATTGGTCCAAAATTCTGGATTTTTGCCGGCGTCTGTTGGATTTGTTCCGGCTGAAACTTCCGCCGTATCAGACGTCACAGTTGGTGCAGGTGGCATTTCTCGCTCCAACCACGAATGCTGGGAGCTCGGAAGGTGTTGCAAGAGGGCAAGCGAAATCTGTGCGGCTGCAGCTGCAGCAAGGCACGAGTTGCATCACACGTCGACATGTAATGTTATTTGAAGAGGCATCTCACCCTGCGAAACCGGATCAGATGGCAGCACTATCAAGTCTTTGTGAAGTTGACTGAGGTGGTGCCATCCGCGACGAAATTGCCGCAGACGAATGCCGCACAAGGAAAGCTGTTGCAAACACATGGCTTTGAGACATGAACGTTTCAACATGTTTCGACCGTGCTGGAGAGGACCACAGTCCGCCGCTGGCTTCGGAGTGAAGATGGCAGCCGTCGCTTCGTGCACAGCAGCGGCTGTTGGCTTGGCTTCCAGCCGCAAGCGCTCCAAGACCGCGGCTCGCTACACCACGCAGACGATCTTGCCCTCCCTCGCCTGGATCAAGACGGGCGTGAAGGCTTCCGAGCTGCAGCCCAAGCAGCTGAAGGCCCTGACGCTGGCCGGCAACGACGTGTTGATCGGCAAGACGGAGGCTGGGGCGCTCTTCTGCGTCGGCAACTTGTGCCCGCACATCGGTACACCCATGAGCGAGGGCGCCGATGTGATCGGCGACGTCATCGTCTGCCCTTTGCATGGCTCCTCCTTCAAAGTGACCACGGGTGAGCTCCTGGATTGGTGCGTCTCCCCGCCGGTCATTGGCCCCTTGACTGGACTGATCGTGGAGAAGAAGAACCTCCTGGTCTTCGAGGTGCGCCAAGGTGGCTTGCTGGGAACCGGCGACGTCGAGGTGCTCGTGGACACCAACGCCAAGAAGGCCTACGAGGCCTGGTACTGGAAGGGCCTCCTGGATGCCCAGGGCAAGGACGACGGCACGTACTACTGAGCAGCGTCTCCTAATGAGCAGCGTCTTAGTGACTTGTTTTGTACTGTCTAGTCGCGAGCTTGGCCATCAGACTGAGTAATGCAGTCTCAGTAGCTACGACATCTACTACTGTACCTGTTGCGGTTGCATCACTCCAGTGTTGCTGAACAGTCTGGACGGAACTTACGGCTAGAAGATGACAGTGCATTCTGACCCGATTATTTCTCTAGTACTCGACATCATCTGCAGAGCAGAGCAGGTCTCTAACTGACGTCGTTTCGCAGCGACATGTTCTATCCTGAAAACATATTTGCACTGTGCTGCAAGGAGGCTGGACATGCAGTCGCTCGCTAGTGACCGCTAGTGCCATTGAGGTGTTTAGTCGGAGTCCCTGAATCAGTGTTGTGTGTGTGTGTGTGTGTGTGCTTGTGCTTGTGTTGGGTAGCTTCCCCCTCGCAGCTGCGGGCTCGCAGCTCACAGCTTTTATACGCTTGTGCCGTCACTTGCTGTCCGAAGCCATGCAGGCCGGGGAACAGCCGCGTGGGCGTTTGTTTCAGACGTGACATGATGGTGAGGTGTAGCAACACGTGATGTAGCTATCTTGCACGAGAGGTTGCTTTCGTCGCTTCCCCTTCTAGCGTGTCGTGCTCAGTTGTTCGGTGAAGTCTTGGTCTTGAACGATGAACACGGATGTGCAACGCCGTGTGGCAAGTGCATGCAAGTGCCGTTGGTGTCAGATGGGGTACAGAGTCGGTGCTTAAACGTTGAACCCAGGCCGTGTCGGCTGTTCAGACTGCACCGCGGCTTGCTCATGGAGGCAAGCATGTGCAGCACGCCAGACAATTCCCACCTGCCCAAGTGGTGTTGTAAAGGTTGCTCCTGCAGGACAGCAATCCGCCGCTGGCTTCGGAGTGAAGATGGCAGCCGTCGCTTCGTGCACAGCAGCGGCTGTTGGCTTGGCTTCCAGCCGCAAGCGCTCCAAGACCGCGGCTCGCTACACCACGCAGACGATCTTGCCCTCCCTCGCCTGGATCAAGACGGGCGTGAAGGCTTCCGAGCTGCAGCCCAAGCAGCTGAAGGCCCTGACGCTGGCCGGCAACGACGTGTTGATCGGCAAGACGGAGGCTGGGGCGCTCTTCTGCGTCGGCAACTTGTGCCCGCACATCGGTACGCCCATGAGCGAGGGCGCCGATGTGATCGGCGACGTCATCGTCTGCCCTTTGCATGGCTCCTCCTTCAAAGTGACCACGGGTGAGCTCCTGGATTGGTGCGTCTCCCCGCCGGTCATTGGCCCCTTGACTGGACTGATCGTGGAGAAGAAGAACCTCCTGGTCTTCGAGGTGCGCCAAGGTGGCTTGCTGGGAACCGGCGACGTCGAGGTGCTCGTGGACACCAACGCCAAGAAGGCCTACGAGGCCTGGTACTGGAAGGGCCTCCTGGATGCCCAGGGCAAGGACGACGGCACGTACTACTGAGCAGCATCTTATTCTGCGCGAATGCACGTCAATGATGTGCACTTCGCCTGATTTTCCATTAAGCTTAACAGGCACCAGTCCGGGTTGCAACACGTCGTGTTCCGTGAGACTCGGATCTTGCAGCATGGCTGCTCAGAAAGCGTCCTTCGTGAGGTCCTTGCAACTTTGTGCGTCGCGCTCTGTCCCACAGAGGTTCCTGAACTTGTGGTACATCGTAGCGGCTCAAGGCCACAGAGCGGGCAAAGATAGGCAACGGCGTGCAGTCTTTCGAAACATGGAGGTGCCCGAGAGACATATGTGATCTCAAGATTGCTTGCTTGTACGGGGGAGGGATCGCTTTGGCCACAGGTCGCCTTCGTTGCTCCCGTCACGTCGAAGGTCCGATGGCATGAGAATGGGTGGTCGCAGAAGCCCCAAGATGTCTGAAGCTCTGATTCCGCCTGCTTGTGAGTCTTTGCCCGCGGCGCAGCTCGCCTCTTCAGCTCCAGCTCCACAAGGCCCCCGAAGACGCCAGGAGAGGTTGTTGCGAAACGAGTGAGGTCGCGTGGCTGCAACATGTGAACCGGCAAGGGCCCTCCTCGCCCTCCACGCTCCTTGGTGGGTCTGCAGCGCTTGGTGCGGCAGCTGTGGTGGCTCTGGTTGCAGCCTCTGATTGCTCGCTTTGATTGTCAGACTGTTCGCTGTTCGTGCCAGACGCCGTGTGCTCCAGGCCTCCAGCTCGGGTAGGAGGCGTGTGGCGCGGAGGGCCGAGCAGGCACCCAGCCTTTAGTTGAAATATACTTGTGCGAGTGTGTCTATGACATCCCAGGAACTGGCCAAGTTGCCCAAGCACATGCAACCTGTGGACATGAACAAGCAAGTTCCTGAGTGTTCAGTTTTGTCGGCAGGAAAGTCATATCTTGTTCTTGAACGACTGCTGAGGGAGTACCCGGCCTACGTGAAGGGCAAGAACGAGAACTCCATGATGCCGCAGCTGGTGGGCGACTGGGGCACGCCGGTGCCAGGTAGCTACAAGGAGTGCCTGACCCTGATCGGGCCAGATGTGGAGGTGGGCCTGTCGACCGGGACGCCCTGGGATCCTCTGGGATTTAGCAAGCTCTATGACCGCAACTTTGAGTTCAACGGCAACATGACCTTCCCGCATGTGCAGTGGCTGCGTGAGTCCGAGCTGAAACATGGCCGCTGCGCGATGCTGGCAATTGTCGGCATCTTCGCACAGGGTGCCTTCCACATTGATGGCTACCCCGAGGCCCCGTGGTACGAGGCGCTGAAGGCGTGCTATGACAAGCCGGCGGGCATCGTGGGACTGGGCATTGCTCAGATCTCAGCTTTCGCCATGATCATCGAGGGCAAGTTCTTCCCAAAGGACTCTTGGATCGGCCAGATGGACCGTGAGCCCGGTGACTTGGGATTCGACCCCCTGAAGCTCGCCAAGGATGCCGAGAGCATGAAGTCCATGCAGCTGAAGGAGCTCAAGAATGGACGCCTGGCCATGATGGCTTTCATGTCCCACGTGGTTGGCCATTACTTGCCGGGCAGCGTCCCGGGTGTGTCTGCCCTCCCCAGGGAGACGGCCACTGCGCAGGCCCCTGCTTTCTGCGGCACAACTGCCAGCCAGCCTGAGTCCACTGCCAAGACCGCGGCTCGCTACACCACGCAGACGATCCTGCCCTCCCTCGCCTGGATCAAGACGGGCGTGAAGGCTTCCGAGCTGCAGCCCAAGCAGCTGAAGGCCCTGACGCTGGCCGGCAACGACGTGTTGATCGGCAAGACGGAGGCTGGGGCGCTCTTCTGCGTCGGCAACTTGTGCCCGCACATCGGTACGCCCATGAGCGAGGGCGCCGATGTGATCGGCGACGTCATCGTCTGCCCTTTGCATGGCTCCTCCTTCAAAGTGACCACGGGTGAGCTCCTGGATTGGTGCGTCTCCCCGCCGGTCATTGGCCCCTTGACTGGACTGATCGTGGAGAAGAAGAACCTCCTGGTCTTCGAGGTGCGCCAAGGTGGCTTGCTGGGAACCGGCGACGTCGAGGTGCTCGTGGACACCAACGCCAAGAAGGCCTACGAGGCCTGGTACTGGAAGGGCCTCCTGGATGCCCAGGGCAAGGACGACGGCACGTACTACTGAGCAGCGTCTTACTGACTTTTTGTCCTGTCTAGTCGCGGCAAGCACAAGTGTGTAATGCAATCACAGCAACCTAACAAACTGAGCACTGTTACGTCCTTCTGCCATGCTTGAAGCATGCTTGCACTTCGTGTGTTGCTGAGCAGTCTAGACAGCCCGAGCCTCGGAAAATGCGACTGTCCGCGTCCGTTGTCCGTCCTCTTGCACTCGGCCTTTGAGAACTGCCCCTGCCGCCCAAGAATGCCAGTTTGTTGTTTTCCGCTCAGCGGCTCTGTGCCTCTTTTTTGTTACCTCCCACGAAGAGAGCACCAAAGGAACGGAGCCATGGAGGCCTGCGCAACTCCTTTTGCACTCTGCGCGCGATCTTTTGTCTTTGCCCACGGGACTCTGCAGGTGGCTTTTATTGCGCCATCTTCCAGCGCCAGGATCTCAGCACTTCTGCCACGGGAAGGGCGGGGGCATTGCTAAAACTCACTTGGAGCCTGTGAGCAAACATGTGAGCTCTTTCCAGCTCGCACGATCTGCACGCCGTGTCGACTGCTCAGGCCAGCAGCTCGAGCCTGCCAACCGGCATTGCACGGACAACTCTCCGAGGCTTGTGGTTGCAGTGATCAGACAAACCACGAAGTCTTTCCCGGCCGCTTGCAGGAACCCAGTCAGAGAGCGGATCCTTCGGGGCGGGGGCGAAGGTACTTGCTTGTCTTGTCTTTGTCGATTTGCCTTCTGCTGCCGGATTTTCCGAGTCAGTCGAGTGTCATGCAAGCTGAGGACTCATGGCCCTCGCTGCATCCCAGATTCTCAGGCTTCACAACAGTACCCCTTGCTCAGGCCGCCGTTCTTTGTGGAGCGGCTGCTGCAGCAAGCCTGGCCACTCGGAGACGCACCATGCGCCGAGCGGAGCAGGCCTATACTCTAGTGACTCGTGACCGAGATCGAGGGAGTCGTTCCCGCATGTTCCTGCAAGTTCCAGGAATGCTGTGACTTTGACTCACATGAAAACATGGAGGAATTGGCCACGCTGCCGAAACACATGCAGCCTGTGGACATGAACAAGCCCGCGGCTCAGAAACATGCTCTAGATCATGGGTCGGCCGGATCACGGCCCTTCGGCACCGGATGCAGTGGCTGTAGTGGCTTCATGCCGTGCCTTTGCCGAGGGAGTACCCGGCCTACGTGAAGGGCAAGAACGAGAACTCCATGATGCCGCAGCTGGTGGGCGACTGGGGCACGCCGGTGCCAGGTAGCTACAAGGAGTGCCTGACCCTGATCGGGCCAGATGTGGAGGTGGGCCTGTCGACCGGGACGCCCTGGGATCCTCTGGGATTTAGCAAGCTCTATGACCGCAACTTTGAGTTCAACGGCAACATGACCTTCCCGCATGTGCAGTGGCTGCGTGAGTCCGAGCTGAAACATGGCCGCTGCGCGATGCTGGCAATTGTCGGCATCTTCGCACAGGGTGCCTTCCACATCGATGGCTACCCCGAGGCCCCGTGGTACGAGGCGCTGAAGGCGTGCTATGACAAGCCGGCGGGCATCGTGGGACTGGGCATTGCTCAGATCTCAGCTTTCGCCATGATCATCGAGGGCAAGTTCTTCCCAAAGGACTCTTGGATCGGCCAGATGGACCGTGAGCCCGGTGACTTGGGATTCGACCCGCTGAAGCTCGCCAAGGATGCAGAGAGCATGAAGTCCATGCAGCTGAAGGAGCTTAAGAATGGACGCCTGGCCATGATGGCTTTCATGTCCCACGTGGTTGGCCATTACTTGCCGGGCAGCGTCCCGGGTGTGTCTGCCCTCCCCAGGGAGACGGCCACTACGCAGGCCCCTGCTTTCTGCGGCACAACTGCCAGCCAGCCTGAGTCCACTGCCAAGACCGCGGCTCGCTACACCACGCAGACGATCCTGCCCTCCCTCGCCTGGATCAAGACGGGCGTGAAGGCTTCCGAGCTGCAGCCCAAGCAGCTGAAGGCCCTGACGCTGGCCGGCAACGACGTGTTGATCGGCAAGACGGAGGCTGGGGCGCTCTTCTGCGTCGGCAACTTGTGCCCGCACATCGGTACGCCCATGAGCGAGGGCGCCGATGTGATCGGCGACGTCATCGTCTGCCCTTTGCATGGCTCCTCCTTCAAAGTGACCACGGGTGAGCTCCTGGATTGGTGCGTCTCCCCGCCGGTCATTGGCCCCTTGACTGGACTGATCGTGGAGAAGAAGAACCTCCTGGTCTTCGAGGTGCGCCAAGGTGGCTTGCTGGGAACCGGCGACGTCGAGGTGCTCGTGGACACCAACGCCAAGAAGGCCTACGAGGCCTGGTACTGGAAGGGCCTCCTGGATGCCCAGGGCAAGGACGACGGCACGTACTACTGAGTCACCTCGCAGCAGATGTCAACAGCGTTGTAGAGCTCTCTTCGTGGGGAGGCTTCTTGGCCCTGACCGAGAGCAGGGCCATTCCGACAACGGAAAGATGTCTGCTCTCGTGACCGTGACCGTGCGTGTCAAGCCAGGTTTCGAGTGGACGAGGGCGATCCATAGATGCCAGTGTGACATCTTCGGAGTTGCGGCTCACAGGAACATGAGCCAGGGAGTCTTGCACCTAGTAACTAGATCGAAACGACACTCACTCAGCTCTTCATGTGTCGCTCTCCGACAATCGCACATGCTTGTGCACACACGCCGCTGGCCCGATGACTGATGGCGGTGCGCTTTGCTTCCCGTAGCGCGGCGCTGAAAGTTGAGGTGCAGGAGGCGGAGCTGGAGGTGGCCGGGACGGGTCCGTACCGCGTGCAGCTGGCTCTCCTGGCTCCGCGGCTCTGCCCTGCAGGCCCAGGCCGTGAAGGCGAAGAGCATCGTCCGCTGGCAAGGAGGAAGCGGTCCCAAGGAGGGGAGGGGCGCGGAAGGGTGGGAAGACTGTGCTTCGGACTGTGCCTATCGGACTGTGCTTGTAAAGGAAGAAGCCTTCGAGCTGTATCCCAGCGATCGCGGCTTTGAGAAAGCTTTGGCTTTGTACCGGCACAAGCCCCCATGGCCGGGGCCCTGGGCAGCTTGTGGCAGAGGTAGAGTTGCGTGGTTGCGTGTGCGTGGCTTGTATGCGGCCGCCAGGACCGCACCGCAGGTTGTCAGGCAGCTGTCAGAGTTGCCCGGCCTCTTGGCGGGCATTGCAGCACTGTATGGTCCGACGAACCGGTCGCGGCTCAGGCGAAACTTTGTTCGTGCTGGCTGACACAGGGACCCTTGACTCGCAAGCAAGAAGCTGCGGGATGCCACACGACAGTTTCTCGGCCTCCCTCGTGGCGTCATAGCAGGACAACGTTAGTGGCCTTCTGTCCCCTGGCAAATCTGGGCGACGGTGTTGTTGCCTCTCTCCGAGGCCAGTGTCTAAAATGTGGAGCAAACCATCTTTCAACTCATGTCCGCCCGGAGAGGCAGCCGACGCGGCCTGGATGACTTCGTCGTCTGCTCGGAGAGACCAGAGACTCGCTTTTGCGTGCCCGGCCGAGCAACGGCTAAGGAGCTAGTGCTTCACATCGAGAGCAGATCGGGCGATGGAGTCAATGGAGTAGCCTCTTGGACAGCTTCTTTTTGAGACACCCGAGCCTCCTTGAAGGGAGCCCGCCCTCACTTTAGGACACACCAGTTCTGCTGATCTTGGAGTGCATGAATCTGGGCGCAGCAGCTGTTGCACACCTTGCTGCACAGAAAGTGGCCCAGACACTGCGCCAAAGCCAATTAGTATAGGGACTGTGGAGAGGGCCGGGGGGGCAGCATCATTTACGCAGTCTGGCAGATTTTGAGGCGCTCACTGGGGCAGCCGCTGCTTTTGCGCTCTGAGAAATTGCTGCCGGATCCATGCAGGCGGTTCAGATAGGTCTCTCAGATCCTGCTCAATCGCGCACCGTGCGGCGAGCGCATCGCGCGCCGCACCGCATCTCAGGAGCTCTTTGGCCGCTGGGGCTGGTGCTCCTGGGATGCACACGGTGTTGGTGTCAAAGCAGAGCACCTGAAGGACCGGGAGTGGATGGGAGTGGATCGGGATGCGGTGAGGGACCTGCTTTCACTTTTCCAATCTACAGGCGATGGCAGTGAAGCACAGTCCTCCCTGGCTGGTCTTGGACGATGGATGGCAGGAGGCAGGGGCTTCCTTTCGTTTTCTTTCTCCCTCGCCTCCTCCTCTCCCCTTTACATGTTGTTCATTGTCAAGCAGGCGGAATCTGCTGGAAGTTAGATCGGGATGCCATGTCAGTGCTGCGATGCTTGGGGCTTGAAAAAGTCGTGTTAAATCAGCAAATCGAAGGATGTCAGTCCGGAAGAGTGGCGGCGCTGGCTCGGGGCCTGGATTGGGCGTGGGCTCTCTGAAACCCGCGGAGCGACCTGACACTCCCAGGCTGCACACCCCTCAGACCCAGCACCTCGCACGTCCAGGCTTCGGGTCGCTTCAGGATCGCGCCTTTTGATTCAAGCCACTTCGGAGCTGAACAAAGACCCGAGAGGACCTGGCCGAAGCGCTCAGAGGGGAAGGCGACCCAACTCTTCAAGTAGTCGTGCCGACTCGGTGTTTTGGCGGGTTTTATGGTCGGGTTGGCGCGAAGATGTCAGGTTCAGCCTTGCTGGTCTGGCACACGCAGCTCGTCTCAGCTTGGTTGGATAGCGACAGGAATCCAACGTATCCAACGAGCGACCGGGTTCCCAAAGCGAAGGCCCAGGCCAAGGCCAACAGCAAAGGGATGAAGCGCCCGTCCGCTGTGTTGGATGTTCCGTGATGAAGTCGATGGTGAGAATTCCCGAAGGTACTAGCTCCATGATGCCCCATTTTGCATGTGAAGCCGTAAATATAGGTCTACCTCCCAGGTAGCCAGTAAACCCGCGGCACTCCTGAACACATAAAATTAATAATCCCAGACTGACCCGCTGGGCTTTCGTAGGTCTGCCGCTATGCCCCACCTGGATACAAATGTGGTGGATGTTTTGGTGTATGTTTGTAGTGGATGTCTATGGTGGCTGTTTTGGACGTTCTGGTGGATGTTTTGGCATCTGGCCTGGCACCTGGCAACCATGGTACGGTATGGCCAATCATGGAGTGCGGCTAGGATTCTTTTTCAGGTTGCTTGGCTACTGGGGAGGAGTCGCGGAGGGCCGTGGCTTCTCCGTCACCCGCCGGCGTCCTCTCTGGCCTAGTGGGCTGCAGGCATCGAGTCTAACCCAAACTCTCCTGGACGTCTAGCTTTGATTTCTAGCGCACGGATGGAAGTTTGTGCGCTCTTGGGTGCAGCAGTTCCGATTGTTTTGCTTTTGCGCGACATAACATCTGTCATGGGTTATCATCTCACTTGCAGGCCGGCTGTCCGGGAGAGGTTGATGTCTGGGACGGAGACTTCTACGCCCTGAAGACGGAGGAAGCATGCGGGTACTGTGAACTAATCGGGTAAAGCTTCAGTTGAATGAAGCGAGAGGAGTTCGCACATACAAGAGTCTGCAAGAGGGTATGGCTTGCTTCATTTTTGAATCTGCTTGGCTGTGGAGGGCTGAATCCCTGGTCACAGGAGGATGCGGAACGATTCTACATCGAGCCCTGGAGCAGAAGTGAATGCCGTTTTGGGTGAATTAGCCCGGCGAATCCCGAAACACGTGTATGGCTGGGATCTTCCAACTGCTTCACGAAGCAAGGATTTCTACGCAGCTCTTGCCGACGCGGGGGTCACTGGTGTGAAGTGTGACGGCCAGTTTCTCGCAGAGGCCGATGAGCGTCGCTCGAGAATGCATAGCTCACTGCGGTTCTTTGGGCAGGTTCTCGTGGGTGCTCGGCGCGCCGCAGAGTTGGCACAGATACAGGCCAGCTTGTCTGATTTATGTTCGATGCTTCGTGGTACGCCTGTACGACATGCAGTTGAGGCTTTGCGCTCGGAGGTTTAGGATGAGGAAGTTTCAGATTTGAAAGTTTCATGCTGAGGGACGAATCAGGCATTGAGGCTAAGAAATTAGTTGTCCGTGATGAAGCCGAGGCAGAGGCCGCGAAGTGCATTGGGGGCCAGGTGGCGTGCCCGCAGCTGCAGCATCACAGCTACAATAACTACTTTTAGGTCACCTCGAGCCGCAAGCAGGAGACCGGATTGCTGCGGGATGCCTACAGTCCAATTCTTGCTGCTAGTTCCTCTGCCGAATCACTGCAAGGCATTGAAGACGCAATGTACAAGCATGGCAAGCCATCTGCAGGTCATCAGTTGCATGGCCATTACGCTTCCTTGTGTTCATGGAGGGTCTGCAGCGCCACAGTTTGCAAGAAGCGGGTCCGAGCGTTGAATGTGCTTTGCCATGAAGGCTACGATTGGCGTATCCCCGGAAGCCTTCGAATGGCCATAAAGTCCTTCCAGACAGGGTGTAGATGATACGGAGCTCGTGGTCTAGACGATAGACGCCAATAACGCCAAGTCGGACGCCAGTTCCCGAACATGCTTCCAGAATGAAGTACGACAGAACAAGGCCCAAGGCGAACTTCAGCAGCATGCCAGGTGCTCACGCGTGTCTCTGATGATCATGCATATCCGGGTGTTCCCGAAGATGCAAGGCCCGAATGCATTTGTTGATGAGAAAAGATTGCCATGCTAGTCAGTTGCCTGTTGCCTGGCAGTTTCGTCTGGTGCAAAGCACACCAGGGAGTGCACGTGGAAGTCTTTCTTGCAGGTCAGTCGCTCGACACATCTGGCACTGTGCGGCCAATTCGCTTTGGCTGGCGCCCTTCGTGCACTGCGACTGGGACATGTAGCTTTGACATGATTGGGAGATATTGGCAGTGGCCTGTAGGAATGAAACATCGGTATGACGGCGCACTGGTCACTATAGTGCAGAGTTTAGGGTTCGATGGGACGACTGTCGGTGATTTGCTGTTTGTTCTGCCTTAAGAAAAACTCAGTGCAGTCGAGAGCGACCTTTCTGGGAAGCAGGCTGAAAACGGGAGAGTGGCATGCGGCCGTTCACGCGGCAACACGTGCAGTCGCGGGCTGCCCGGCTCCGTGGCGATGAGGAGAGTAGGAGTTGTTCTTTTGCTCATCCCAGGGATGTTGTGCTCGAAAGAGTGTTCAGAGAGAAGACCAGAGCAGTTCAGGATTTGCAGACAGGACAGGCATTATAGGCAACCAGGCATCAGCTGCGAGCAGGCAAGCAAGCTGCGCTGTGTGTGTAATGTTTGCGCAGCCAAGCGGCTTCATGCAGTTCTTGTCATTGTCATAGGATGACAGAAGACCAGCGCGTGCAAGATCACGCTTTCTACAATTCCACCGTTGTGCCGGCCCCTTCCATGGTGCCCGCTCTGAGAGCCCAAGTCCAAGGTATATGCCAGCGATCCTGCAGAGAGCTTCGACCCCGAGGAGGGATCC